CATCATCATCATCATATGACACAGGTATTTTCATTGCTATCATCATCATCATCATATGACACAGGTATTTTCATTGCTATCATCATCATCATCATCATCATCATATGACACAGGTATTTTCATTGCTAACATCATCATAATCATCATATGACACAGGTATTTTTATTGCTATCATCATCATCATCATATCACACAGGTATTTTCATTGCTAACATCATCATCATCATCATATGACACAGGTATTTTCATTGCTATCATCATCATCATCATCATGTCACAAGTTATTTACATTGCTATCATCATCATCATCATATGACACAGGTATTTTCATTGCTATCATCATCCTCCTCCTCATCATCATCATATGAACAGGTATTTGCCTACCTCAGCTCTAAGGCAACAATTATGCTTGCCACTAACTTTACATGTGATTACAACATCACAAACATGAACTTGCAGCTGCCTACTACTGTCAGGCATATCGTGTGGTCTCTCAAAAGTCCTTAGAAAATATGCCAAGATATCTTAACTAAACTGTCTAGTTAACTAGGTTGCCRATCACACGATTATACAAATATTAATTGTAAATTTAGTAGAAATTCAACCACGAATTTCAGTTCAAGATTTGGTAAAGTTGCAAAATTTGGTAAACCAAATTGGTAAAGTTGCTAATTTGATCACCAAAAACCTGACTTTCTATCGATTGTCCAACAAAACGCACTATCATTTATTAATCAATTAACTAATTTGGATGAATTATTATCTATTAATAATAATTAATTATCTTAATTGAAAAATAAATCAACTTGACTCAAAAACTTGATTAAAGTTTGTTATCAAAAGAATGACAAAATATATCTTTTTTTCTGTAAAAATCATTAAATAAAAGAAGCGCAAAAGATACCTTGGTTCTTGAAGATGACTTTGAAGAACTTCTGGGTTTTCTTTTGCTGTCTTTGTCGCTTGAATACGAACGTGAACGCTTTCTTCTTTTGGCTTCTTTGTCCGCCATTTTGAAAATCTGCTACCACAGGAACCCCAACAGCTGATTGTTTAGTTGGCTTGGGCTTCCTGTGGTTTTAAAGTGAACTTCAAAATGGCGGCTTTCTTTCCACGTGTGGGAAGAAGRAATCACATTTGGAGGCTTTTTGCCTCTTCTTTCACGGTATAAACCCTTTCTTAGCTAACGTACAAAAAGTAAATAAGAGTATGTTGGTATTTTTAAAGCAAATAGTTAAGGAGGATTTTCTTATTTTTGCAGAACAATTCTGTTAAAGTGACTTCGAGAAAACTGCAAACTTCACAAGGTTTGAGAAATGTTTCGCCGGGTTTTCTGCATTCAGGACACACAAAAAGAAATATCCTCACCTTAGGAGTAAGGTTCTATTCACAGGAAACCAGTGACTCTGTATCAGGTATGATAACTTATGATGATTTATTCTGTATACTTTATATTTACGTATTAAAATATTTATAATTTATTTTCTCATTACTAAGCTTAAGTAAATATTCAGTTGAATATCGTAATTAAGATTACCATTTCATTAACTTGAATTACCATTAGCATTGCTATTGTTGTTGTTGTTGTTGTTATTATTATTATTAAAAATTAAGTGATTAAATGTCGCCGAAGCCAAGGGTTATTTGAAATCATCATTAATGAGACCCGTGCTAGAGGTAAGTCTTTACAAGCAACATGGCCTTGAAACTGGGACACAAGAGCCACTTACTCAAGATGAATGACAAACTGTTCTAATGAATTACAGTGACACAAGAATGTTCTGAAATTGCAACATAGGCAGTTGTGAAACTCAGATGGATGCCATGAGTACCCCCCCCCCCCTCATAGGGCCTCATTTATATGCATATAGAGGCAAATTTTATGGAGTAATCTCCACAATGATGAAAGGAAAGASGACAGACATAAAAATAAACTCAGAGTCTTTCGTCAGTTCAAAACGGATTATAACTTTGAAGAATATTTAAGTCAAGTCACCAATATTAAGCACAGAGTGGCGCTTAC